CCACTTGGGAAAGCAGTCTGGGGTTTCTTAAAAAGTTCAGCGTATCCATTATCCACTCACTCCTAGTAAGCTCCCAAGAGAAACAAAAACCTATGTCCATACAAAGACCTATCCATGAATGTTCATAGCAGCATTATTCCTGCTGAGTGATAACTGGAAACAATCTAAGTGGTCAACTGAGGAATGGATAAACAAAATGTGAAAATGTGCTGCAGCCATACAACGCGATACAAATCCACAGTTAAAAGGAACAAATTACTACATGCTACAACACGGGTGAACCTCAAAAACATCGCACTATGTGAAAGAAACCAAATACAAAAGACTACATATTAGATGATCCCATTTATGAAATGTTTAGAAAAGACAAATATATAGATAGAAGCAGAAAAACAGATGAATGGGTACTGAGGATGGAAGCAAGGATTACCTATAAATATGCATGAAGGAAATTTTTAAGGTGATGGAACTGTTCTAAACCTGGACTATGGTGATGACTTACTAGAAAATTACTTGAATTATCCAATTAATAATCGTTGAGGTTTTATAGTGGTTAAATTGTACCTTAATAAAACTGCTTTTGAAATAACCAAATGATTTGTGAAAAAAATTTTCAAGCTCATTAGAAGTCAGGAAAATGAAAACTAAGATCATAGATACCAAAGATGGGCATAAGTTAAGAAATCTGATAATACCAAGGAATGAAGACATGAAGCAAGAAGAATTCCTGCACATCACTGGTAGAAATTCAAACAGGTACAACTGCTCTGGAAAACAATTTGTCCTGATTCTGCAAAGTTGCATTATGCACATATCCTATAACCAGGAAATCACTCCAAGGTAGAAACCCTAGACAGGATCCAGATAGTAAATATTTTAGGCTCTACAGACCATGAGATCTTTACCACAACTAACTCAACTCTGCCTTCTATCATATAAACAGCAGCAGACAAAACATAAACAAATCAGCATAGCTGTGTTATAATAAAACTTTGTTTACAAAAACAGACACCAAGCTAGATTTGATCATTGGGCAGTAATCTGACAATCCCTGTCCCAGCAAAATACTTGTACATGTGATGCAGGGGACATGTACAATTTTCATAGGATTTGTTTATATTAGCCGCAAACTAGAAACAACCCAAATGTTCACTCACAGGAAAAAAGATAAATAAATCGTGGCATATTTTCAAAATGGAATATGATACAGCAGGAAAAGGGAATTATACTCCTGTCACCTGAAACAACATGGTTAAATCTTAGAAGACATTATTAAGTGAAAAAAAATAATAATTCAGAGAAGAGATATGATATGAATTAATCACAGAAATGATTTAATAAAGCTCAAAACAAAGCAAAACTAAATAAATGTCATAGCACCTATTTAGGTACATAGACAATAAAAGAAAATTATAGGGGAAAAAAATTTTAGGAATGGTAAAAATTCAGGACAAAGATTACATCTCAATGAAGGGTAAAGATAGGATCAGGGAGAAGCCCACGGTTAGTTTCAATGGTTCTGGTATTGTTCTGGTTCTTATTAAGTCATAGGGTCATAAGACTTCATAACTTACACATGCAGGATATATTTAATCATATATATATATATATATATATATAAAATATACATTAAAATTTTGTTAATAAAAGGTAAATAGAAATACTCCCTATAGTCAACTGAAAAAAAATCCCAAAACAACTGAAGCAGCTACCTGTAACTAAAACAGGAAGTACAGAACTGGCCACTAAAAAGCAGAGTATCTGTGCTCCAAGTCCACCAAGCAGATCATGACAAAACACCAATGTGGCTGGTAACTAACACTTGGATTCAGAAAGAATTGACAAATGCCAAGTGAAAAAGTATTAAAAAATATTCTAGGAGCGCCTGGGTGGCTCAGTGGGTTAAGCCTCTGCCTTCGGCTCAGGTCATGATCCCAGGGTCCTGGGATCGAGCCCCGCATCGGGCTCTCTGCTTAGCAGAGAGCCTGCTTCCCCCTCTCTCTCTGCCTGCCTCTCTGCCTACTTGTGATCTCTCTGTCTGTCAAATAAATAAATAAAATATTAAAAAAAAATAAAAATAAAAATAAATAAAATAAAAAGTATTCTAAAACTTAAACATTTTTTTAAATTAGTTGTTTGTTAATCAAGTTCAGTTTTTGCTATTTAAGTAACTTTATAACTGTGGAACACTGCCGTTACAAACTCACTTGAAGAGGTCCCGCTAGAGTGCAAAAAGATTACATATAGTCAGATTCTGGCACCATCTGGTGGCAGTACCCTGCAACAGCAGGGGGGGGTTTGTTTCTTTTAAAGATTCGCTCACTCATTTATCAACTATCTAATAGGCATCCTCCAAGCATAGCACACACATATTTTTAAACCTTTCTTAGAAGACAGGACATAAAATAAGGTATAGTATCTAAAACAGAATGCCCATTTTCAAGAAAAAAAATCTACACTGGAATCCATGACTATGAGAATGTCAGAGTTTGCTCTTGTTTGCTTAAAATATCTAAGCCGCTAGAAGTCTCAGGCAAGAAGTTCTTCGGGAGTATCCTGGTAAGCTTACTGGACCAGTAAGCACGCCAATGCAGCATGCAGGAAAGAACTGTGGTAGTTTCTGAATATCTTCAATCTCACTATGGAAAACAATATAGAGGTTCCTCAAAACAATTAAAAATAGATCTACATACAACTCAGAAATTCCACTTCCGGATATATACCCAAAGGAAGTAAAAACTATTTCTTCAAGATACCTGCACTCCAATGATTATCATAGTAGTATTCTCAATAGCCAAGATATGTTAACAACCTAAATGTCCATCACACGTGAATGGATTTAAAAATGCAGCATTTAAGCAATGTCCACAAGAGCCAAATTACGGAAAGAGCCTAGATGCCCATTGACAGATGAATGGATAAAGAAGATGTGGTATAGATACACAATGGAATACTATGCAGCCATCGAAAAATGAAATCTTGCCATTTGCAACAAGGTGGCTGGAACTAGAAGGTATTATGCTAAGCGAAGTAAGTCAATCAGAGAAAGACAATTATCATATGATCTCACTGATATGAGGAATTTGAGAAACAAGACAGAGTATCATTGGTGAAGAGAGGGAAAAATGAAGATGAAACCAGAAAGGGAGACAAACCATAAGATACTCTTAATCTCAGGAAACAAACTGAGGGTTGCTGGAGGGGAGGGGTTTGGAGGGATGGAGCGGCTGGGTGATGGACATTGGGGAGGGTGTGTGCTATGGTGAGTGCTCCGAATTGTGTAAGACTGATGATTCACAGACCTGTACCCCTGAAGCAAATAACATTATTTGTAATATTAATAACATTTATTAACATTATGTTAAAAATAATAATAATAAATGGGGCATATATACACAATGGAAAATTACTCAGCCATGAGGAAGATAACCTCCCATGAGCAGCAACATGAACGGACCCTAAGCACATTACACTATGCAACGTAAGTCAGACAGAGAAAGAAACATACTATACAGTATCAGTTACATGTGGAATCTAAAAAGTTAAATCTGTAAAATTAAAAAGGCGGTTAAAAAGGCATGGGGTGCAGAGATAAGAGGGATGGTGGTTGGGGCACCCAGGTGGCTCAGCTGGTTAAGCAACTGACTCTTGATCTCAGCTCAGGTCACGATCTCAGGGTCTCGGAGACTGAGCCGTGCATCAGGGTCCACCCTCAGGACAGCCTCTACTTGAGATTCTTTCCCTCTGCCCCTCATCCCCCTCAGCTCACCTGTGCCCTCTCTTGCTCTAAAATAAATAAATATTTAAAAAAAAAAAAAGTGATGGTGTTTAACAGTATAAACTCGTAATGAAAAGTAAATAAGCCACAGTGCTCTAATGCAGTCTAATGAATATAGACAGTAATATTGTACTATAATTATGTGGTAAATATTGCTACATCAGCAATCATATTATAATATACAAATGTATTAAAGTAACATTGGTTAAGTGTCCAACTCTTGATTTTTGGCTCAGGCATGATCTCAGGGCTGTGAGATCAAGCCCCACATGGATCCTGCTTTAGATTCTCTCTCGTCCTCTCCCTCTGCCCCTCCCCCCTTCCCCTCTCTAAAAAAAAAGAAATGTCCTTGAATTCTTGACACTTCTTTCAAAAAGTAGAGCCAATTTTCCCTTTCCTTGAATGTGAGCTGTACTTAATGACATGCTTCTTAAGAAGACAATGTGGCAGAAGTTAATGGTGTGTAACTTCCACAACTAAACCATCAAAGGCTTTGCCACTTCCATCTTGCCTTCTTTTGGATTACTCACCCAGGGCGAAGTCAACCACCATGTCCTGAGGAACTCAAGCAGCCTGTGGAGAGCTTACTTGAAGAGGAACTGTGACCTCCTACCAGGAACCAGTATCAACTTCCCAGTTACATGAGTGAGCCCTCTTGGAAATATCCTCTAGCCCCACCACGACTTCAAGACACTGCATCCCTCACGGACATCTCTGAGCTAAGCCACTCCCAAAGAAACAGAAATAGTAAGTTATCAATTGTCGTTTTAAGTCACTTCATTTTGAAGTAATTTGTTGTGCAACAATGTATAACTAACACAGCCTATCACATCTTAGAACCAAATTTTATCTACAATAGAAACTAAAAATAGCTCACTTCAGTTTAATACCATGATTTGCCCACATGTTAATAAAATTTCATATTTTCCTTCCTCATACACTAAGTACTGTTCCTTTTTTAATTCCCCCAAATCGCTTCATGCTATTTCATAATATTCATCAGTTTCTAAGCTAATTTTAAGAAACAGCAACCGAAGCAGACTTCAGGTGGTCAGCAAGGACTGTTCTGAATATCTTTATTTTTTGAAAAGCAACTATACTAGGTCCTGAGTGGAGAACCATGCCCTTGAGGTATGAACTAATCTATGTTTCTCAACTAAATTTTTTCCCCTGGCTCTGAACGTTACAGGCCAGTGGGAGATTTGGAAAGTTTCTCCTTTACCTCTGTGAGGGATCCACAAGCCACACCACCATGCAGGGCTTCATCCAATGCAGAAAGGGTTGTGGATAAGAACGCTGGGGAGAGAGAAGCAGACGTCTGCATCTTCATCCCATAAGCCTGAACAAGAAAAAGAAGACGTTCTTTTCAATCTCCATGTCTATTCAAAACCAGAAACCCACTCCAAACCTCAGTTTCTAGCAGCTAGAACCCCAATCCATCTCTCTTTTCCTCAAACATTATTTGTTTAATGAATATTTAGTCCATGCCAGAGACTATGCCAGACTATGGGGATATGATAGAGGAGACAGAGGCCCTGCCCTCACAGTACCTATGGTCACCCAGCAGTTGAAATTAGGACTGGAAACTAGGCAATTACAATACAGATATCAGAGACACCATGACAGGGAAAGTGGACTCACAGAGACAGTATATACCTCATCTATGAATTCTGCGATCCAGGAAGACTTCAGGAGGAGCTGGATGTCTGAGCTAAAATGTGAAATAGCTGTTAAGCAAAGGAAATACACATATTCCTGCCAAAGAGACAGAACACACAGAGAAAGGGAGAAAATGGAAACTAATAAAAACTACAAAAAATAAAAAGAGTTAGAATGGTTGAAAGATGGAGTGTGGTAACAGTGGGGCCAGTGATGGGGCTGGAGAAATAAGCAGGGGCCAAATCACGAGAAAGAGCCTTGCTGAAGTCTGGGGTCAATGTGGAAAGCAAGAAGGAATGGCATGCTCAAGTTGTCTTTTCAAACCAAGGTTGGTCTGTGAAGAATAGCTTGAACGTGGGTATGGTAACCTGAGAAACGGCCCCCCAAGAAATGTCTGCATCAAATCCTTGGAACCTGTGAATGTTACCTTCCTCTAAAAAAGGGCCTTTAAAATGTGATTAATGTGATTACATACCTAGCAATGTTTAAGAACACTTACCTCTACAATTTCTAACATTAAAAATTACTACTATTTTATTAAATTGCCCAAATAAACTGAGGTCAAGCCATAGAACAGTAATTATTCCTTCCTTCCTTCATTCACTTATTGTCAACAAATACTGAGTACTTACTACATGCTATATACTATGATAAACTATGGGAACAGAACCAGAAACAGTTTCTAACCACTTCCAGTTTACAACTTAATAAATCTATATATCAAATCCAAGGCCCTTCTGCTTCTGTGAAGATGTAGGAAAACCAGCATATTAATATTTGTAAGCCACAAATGTGCCCACTTCTGTCCAGTCTCACCTATTAAATTCTTAGATCATTTAAACCATGGATTATCACATTTTTCTATGGCCATACTCAGGTACACTTAAAAAAGAAAAGAAAAGAAAAACTACAGAAAAAAGTCATGTGGTATACATCTGATTTAGAAATACCTGAATATTGTCTACAACATATCATCAGGCTATTGCCTGGTAGGTAGGCTTGGAGACATTTTATCAAACGTACAAAGGCTGCCCAATCTGTCAACATTAAAGTACTTCCTTTGCCACTATAAGAACACTAATCACTAGAATAATAGAATTAGTGACACATATAAAAATAAAAAAGACTAAAATGAAGGAACAGGATAAGATAGGACAGTATGTATACAATATCAGAGATGATATTATGTATATAAATGAAACAAAAAGGAGTATTTTGGTATGCCACTCCACCAGTTTTTCTTCTATGGTGGTGGCTGCTTCTTCTCAGATGCATCATTATTTCATCTGATTTTAAAGTGTTGGCTTCACTCAGGACTTGGTCTTGGATACGCTTATCTCGTTGTCATATTTACACTGAGGACTCCCAAACACAAACTGCTAGATGGACCTCTCCTTCAGATAGCAGGTCCGAGTACTGAACTGCCTGCTTCATATCCCCACTCAATGTTTCATAAGCCCCTTACATTCAACAAGTACTAAATTAAATTCATGATCTGCCTCCATCAAGTCTGATCCTTTTTCCAGCATTCCTTATCTCAGGAAGTGGTACTACCCAGTTTCCCAAAGCAAAAAAAATCAAGGACTCATCTGTCACTTTCCTGTATTTCACCACTACCCACTGGCAAACAATCACCAATCCTACTCATTCTGCCTCCTAAATATCTCTCATAACAACTCACATAATGCCATCTGCACTGACACCACTCGAAAAACGCTCGTCAGAACCATTTGCTGTCTGGAATATAGGAGTAGATACCTAAGTGGTCTTCACGAATATTTTTCTGCTCCTTTCCAATCACTTATCTGTGTTTAAGACTGAGTTGCTGTGGAGGGTTTTTTCTCATTAAATTTTTGTTTTAATGGGTCTCAAAATTCTGTAACAGATTTTGGGTCATGTTGTTTTCATTAAAAAGTACTGATTTTTAAAAATTAATAATAAAACCACACACAAAAAAACACAAATGGTCCACAGAACATTCTCCTTTTCTTCTGAAGGTTTTATGATGCACTGTTATCAATAACTAGTCTTTTACTATTAATTGGCCAATTGACACAAAGAGTTCCGAGACCATTCTTCCACCACTGATTAAGACTGGACTGGCAGGTACTGGGCATAATACTCATTGAGCCTTCTGAGCTTTCTGGGCAGACTTGGTGACCTTGACAGCTCCAGCTGCCTTCTTGTCCACTGCTCTAATGACACCCACAGCAACCATCTGTCTTATGTCACCAACAGTAAAATGGTCCAGAGGAGGATAATGAAGTTCTTAACACGCACAGGCTTGCCGGGAACCATATCAACGATGGCAGCATCACCAGATTTCAAGAACTTTGAACCATCTACCAGCTTTTTCCCATAATGATGATCTATCTTCTTCAGCTCAGTAAACTTGCAAGCAATGTGAGCTGTGTGACAATCCAGTACAGGTGCATATCTAGCACTGATTTGGCCTAGATGGTTCAGGATAATCACCTGAGCTGTGAAGCCAACTGCTTCCACAGGTGGGTCATTTTTGCTGTCACCAGGCACATTGCCACGATGAACATCTTTGACAGATAAGTCATTCTTTTTTTATTTGTATTATTTTTTTTTTATTTGAGAGAAAATGAGAGAGACAGAAATAGAGAGAGAGAACACAAGCAAGGGGGAGAGAGAGAAACAGACTCCCCTTTGAGCAGGGAACCTGACATGGGGTTTGAACCCTGGGATCATGACCTGAACCAAAGGCAGACACTCAACCAACTGCGCCATGCAGGTGCCCCCAGATACCTTGTTCTTGACATTGAAGCCCACACCATCCCCAGGAAGAGCCTCATTCAAAGTTTCATGCTGCATTTCAAAAGACTTTACTTCAGTGGTAACACCGACCAGAGCAAAGGTGACCACCATGCCAGGTTTAAGAACACCAGTCTCCACTCGGCCCACAAGGACAGTACCAATACCACCAATTTTGTAGATATTGTGGAGAGGCAAACACAAGGGCTTGTGGTTCCAGAAATGCAATCCAGAGCTTCAGGCAATGTGGTTCCACTGGCATTCCCATCTTTAGGGTGAATTTCCGTCCTTTGAACCGAGGCATGTCAGCACTTGGCTCCAGCATGTTGTTACCATTCCAACAAGAAATTGCCACAAATGCTACTATGTCGGGATTGTAGCCAATTTTCTTAATGTAGGTGCTGACTTCCTCAACGATTTCCTCGTATCTCTTCTGGCTGTAGGGTGGCTTACTGGAATCCATTTTGTTAACACCAACATTAGTTGTTTTACACCCAGTATGTAAGCCAGAAGGGCTTGCTCACGGATCTGCCCATTCTTGGAGACACCTGCTTCAAATTCACCAACAACCGGGGCCTGCGTGGCTCAGTTGGTTGATCAACTGTCCTCAACTCAGGTCATGATTCTGGAGTCCTGCATCGGGCTCCCTGCTCAGCGGGAGGTCGGCTTCTCCCTCTGACCTTCCCCCCTCACACTCACTCTCTCTCATTCTCTCTCTCTCAAATAAATAAATAAAATATTCTAAAAAAAAAAAAAATCACCAACAGCAGCAGCAACAATCAGGACAGCACAGTCAGCCTGAAATGTGCCAGGAATCTTGTTTTTTTATAAAGTCTCTGTGTAAGACTGAGCTTTTAAAAACACAGATCATACCCTTTTAGGACTTTTTATTGCTCTCAGAATAAAGTTCAAAATCCTTTACATGTCTGCAGGCCCCATGATCTGACTCCTGCTTGCTTCTCTGACTTCATCTCTGAGGTCAATCTGCTCCTCACCGCTTTGTTCATCACATCAGCCTGATGTTACTGCCAGGAAATGCCATCCTCCCTCTCTCACAGGGCCTTTACACATCCGGGTCCCCCTGCCTACAGACTCCTCCATGCTCACCTTCTTCCTGACTTTGCCTATCTCTCCCCTATTCATCATCCTTCAGGTTTTAGCTAAAGTGTCACTTCCTAGTGGGAGCCCTTCCTAACCCTGGAACTAGGTAACGAACCCTGTTCTTAAGTTTCAGAGTTTTTTATACTTTTCCTTGGTAGGACTTATCGTTACTACAAATAACTGTTTATGTACTTATATGTGTAATGTTTGACTTCTCCCACTAGACTGTAAGCTGCATGAGGGCAGGATGTTACTACGTTCACTACAAGATCCCCAGGACCTAACAAGAGTACATGCTACATGTCTGGCCCTCAATAAACACCAGTTAAAGGAATATATCAATGAACAAAAATATATTCCCTGGAAAAATGTACTGAAACTAAGCCAATGTTTACAGCAAGACTCAAATCTAGAGAATGCTATAGAAGTGAACATACAACAAAGGAGAAAGACGGTTTCTAGAGCAGGCATCTGGAATGGTACTGATACCTTAGATGAAATGGTAGCAGAAGTGGAGACGAAAGGTGAATTTCCTGCCCGTGCTCTCTTTAATTCTCTAACTAGAAATACGCCATATATGTTGACCAAACAGAATGACACATGCCAAACTAAAACACTTTCTTGGTGCTTTGCGAGCTTCAAAATAGTAACAAGTTAATTGAACCTAGTCACAGCAACATCACTTACTATTTTAGCTCTCCTCCTTCTCCCATAAAACGAAGTGAGCTGTTCAAGGCTTGGAGGTCAATGACAAAGCTAAGACAGTGCCAATACCTATCTCCAGTTCTAATTCTTCTGACTACTCTGCCTATGAGGTATTTTCTTAGATCACAAGCTAAATCCGAACAAAAGAAAATACTTCATCTATTCATTAATTTCACAAATTTGAAATGACACTAACATCCCTTCCTTCGTACTTCATAGAATTGAACTCCACTTTTTTGCTCAGTGGTTAACAAATTTCAGTATAAGATATAAGGTAAGTAATCTATAATTCACCTAAATAAATACATTTATAAAGCACTAAACAGAATTCCAGGCACTCTTATTCTGGGAAAACAATATCTTTTCTACCATGCACTAAAGCTACATGTTGAAAAGCTAAAGTTATGAGACAGAAAGTATAAAATAATTGTACCACTTGACAAGGATTTGTTATAAAAGACTTTAACTCTTCTCAAGGGTGAGTGAAGTTTTTGGGTGTCTAGGTGGCTCAGCTGGTTAAGCAGCTGCCTTCAACTCAGGTCATGATCTCAGAATCCTGGGATCGAGCCCCACTCAGGCTCTGTACTCCACAATGAGTCTGCTTCTGCCTCTCCCTCTGTCCTTCTTCCCAGCTCATGCTTGCTCTCCCTCTCTCTCTGTCTCTTCTCTCTCTCTCTCAAATAAATAAAATCTAAAAAAAAAAAAAAAAAAAGAGCGAACAAAGTTTTTAAGTATTATCTAATCAATAAGCAAGTAGAAACCCCATAAGTGTACTTTATGATGTAGAGTGATGATTATAAAAGTTAGTATTACAGAGACAGGAACATTCTAAAATTAGGAACATATTATAATTTAACTATGAGGTCCACAAATTCTACCCAAACAAAAGACACAGATGTCCTTTTGAAATATCACTATTAGCTACAGGGGGAAAAAAACTTCCTGTTGCTTCCTCATTCCCATAATTAGGAACTGTCTCCCATGAGTTTATAAACTATATAAAATTTTCACATATTCTCATTAAAGGACTAACTTAATGGTGTGAGTCAATATTTTTGAGGTGTTCATCTCTATTTTTGCTTTTGCCTCATCCCAAATAGGATTCTATTTTTTTTTAAGATTTATTTATTTCAGAGAGTGAGCACGCAGAGGCAGATGGAGCGAGAGGCTCAAGCAGACTCCACACTGAAAGTAGAGCCCAACACAGTGGCCCAACACAGTGGCTCAATCTCATGACCCTGAGCTCATGACCTGAGCCAAAACCAAGAGTTGGTTGCTTAACCAACTGTGCCCCCCAGGCACTCCCCAAAAAAGATTTCCATTGAGATTAAGAATCGTCTAAAAAATCATAACCAAATCATTAAAAAATACATATATATATACCGTTTGCATCTGTGGGGCACAGGCCCTGCTGACCATACATAGAAGTTCATGGACACCTCTATAACTAAGGCCGGTCATCTTCATAAGCTCCAGTGGAGAAAGACATAAAAAGTCCTAAAGAGACATAAAATGACTATTAAAACATATATGTGCAACAAAGATACTGGAATTAAAAAGAAACTTTTAATGGACACTATCCATGTATAGATAAAGAGTAATTTGTTGTAGATCACAGGTTTATATGTTTCTTATAGTATTGCCCCCTATATACCTTAACTGAAAGATATGATGCCATAAACTTAACCTTCTAATCCTCCAATTTACTTAGCATATATCAGAGGACACATCAAGTGACATCACATAGCAGCAGCCTCCAACCCAGGTATATATGAGCACTGCCCTGTGCTGGAGTTTGGGCACAGACACCAAAAAGTGCAGGTTGAAACAGATTTCTTACTAAGCTATAAGATCCTTCAGAGGAAGTATTTAATCACTGAGACAATAAAACTGACTATGAAATGAAATGTTAAGTCTCATACTTTTAAGAGTGTTTTCAAGTATGAACATGAGGATTATTAAATATATAAGAAGAACCAAAAACACCATTAACACACAAAGCAATTTTTTTTAAAATTGTAGCATACTCTGAAAATCTGTCTTATTAAGGATTAAATCTTAACACAAAACCTTATTTAACCCAAGAGGGATCTGCTTCACTACTGTGCTTAAAAATGCAACATCTGGGATGCCTGAGTGGCTCAGTGGGTTAAGTCTCTGCCTTCAGCTCCAGTCACGATCTCAGGGTCCTGGGATCAAGCCCTACATCGGGCTCTCTGCTCAGCAGGGAGCCTGTTCCCCCCCCCCCCCGTCTCTGCCTACTTGTGATCTCTCTCTCTGTTAAATAATAAATAAAATCTTTTTTAAAAAATGCAACATCTGCTCTATCCATTTCTCTCATTTAGTGATAGGAAAATTATCCTCTTGCTGGCAAGAGACATTATCCATTTTTAATACCATCTCCTCATCTAAGTCCTATTTCTTACATCACTGCAAAGTTTCTCTCAAGTGGATGAAACTTCTATAGAATCCCAAATAAATGGCATGAGTATACTTAACAGTATGCTATAAGCATTCTCCCCAACCCAAAATGAAAACATAGTGGAATCTGGATAAATGAAATCACATTTGAAAATACAACGTTAGTGGCCTTTTACTTTATATTATTATTTTTTTAAGATTTTATTTATTTATTTGACAGAGAGAGACACAGCATGATGTAGAGTGATGATTATAAAAGTTAGTATTACAGAGACAGGCACATTCTAAAATTAGGAGCATATTATAATTTAACCATGAGAGGGAACACAAGCAAGTGCTGAGCAGGGAGCCCAATGTGGGCCTCAATCCCAGGACCCTGGGATCATGACCTGAGTCAAAAGCAGACGACCAACATCTGAGCTACCCAGGCATCCCATAGACTGTTATTTTAAATTAGCCTCTGGAGAAGCACTGTCATTTATCTTTTTTTTTTTTTTTAAGAAAGTTAGATTTTCATATTTCAGGCTTATTTTGGAGTTATTAACATATATCTATAATTAATCTGTACTTCAAGTTTCTCCAAGAGAAAAAGTACATAAATTTTACCTGACAGGTAACAATCTGATATCTGTTCAGACGGTCACACAGCTCTTGTGATAATCCCACTCGTCTGAGTTTCTTGCTACCCATGCCTAAGGACCTGATGCAGATGCAGCAGGAAAAGGACCCTGAAAAGAACTGGAAAAGGGCATAATCAATAGTAGATAGACTATCCAAAACACACTACAAAATAAAAACTCTTCAAGCTTCTCCAGATGCAAAATGAAATGTATAGTACTTAAAATATTACTGATAAAATAAAGAATGGCTACAGAATCTTTCTAAAGGTCTACCAAACATCCACACAGAGAAACAAAACAACATAAAAATGTGCATCTCACACAATTCTTTGGTATTTCTTACATTATACACAATTCTTTGGTATTTTTTACATTAATATAAGGACACCACTTCTCATTTGTTTAGCATCTTAAGATTTTCAGTGCATTTATAAATTTTATTTGGATACGTAATTAATCCTCAAGGAGTATTTCCAAGCACTCCTTAGAAAGCCTTTACTTTCACTGCACTGTAACAATAAATCTACTGTGCACCTACTAGGTGCCAGATACTGTTCCAGAGCTTTACATAAATTATCATATTTAATCTTCTCAACAGCCCTATAAGAAAGTCTGATTAATTATCCAGTTTTTGCATATGAGAACACCAAAGACTAGAAATGTTAGCTATTCCATTGCCATCAGAAAAAGTTAATGGTGGGTCCAAAATTTCAACTCAGGAAGTCTGACTCTAAGGCTTATCCTCTTAACCATTTCACCCTACTACAAGCCCATAATCATATTTAACTTCTTTTTCTATGAGGCAGAGCGAACCTCTGATTCAAACGAGATTTTATTATTTCAGGTCTTATTTACAAACTGAAATTGTCTTTATTGTATTAGCTGCTCACATTCTCACATGCAATTAAGTTTCACTCTTGTTGTTGAACCTCACTGGGGCTAAATGAGACTCGTGAAATATTTGCCTTCAGAGAATTAGAATACAATCACTGTGATTCCTTTCATAATGCATGCAAAGGAGAGGTTCTGTTATCTCACTGAGATGGCAAGATGTCCTTTGAGTAGAGTAGAAAGAGAAACTCTTCATTGTTCCAGGCAATAAAGCAATATAGTTATCAGAAAAGGAGTAACAGTCTGGAACAAAATCACACAGTACTGATAGTGTAGATACCAGTTTATTTCCAATATCATGGCCCAAATTTGTACATAACATCTAAATTCTCTGAATCAAATGAACTCTCTCCCTCCCTTTCTCTCCCTCTTCTTCCTGCCTTTCTCTCTCTCTCTCTCTCAATGAACTCTCTCCCTCCCTTTCTCTCCCTCTTCTTCCTGCCTTTCTCTCTCTCTCTCTCTCTCTCTCTCTCTACACACACACACACACACACACACACACCTCCCAAACACAGAATACATTCCTCTCATTCTCCAGTGGGAGTTTGTCAGTATTGATTTGTTTCCCAAATAGTTTACCAAGTGATATCTGCTGTGTCATTTCCTAGTGTCTTTACAGATCAGATAGTTCTGGGCAATAACACCATTTAGACCGATAAATCCAATCAAAAAGGAGAACCCAAACTTCCTGGCCTTTTACAATAACCAACTCTGCTATCTCAGCCTCATTAGGGCCACTCCCATCATCATATCCATACTGCCTCCGGTTAGTCCTTGACTATCAAAAAAAAAAAAAAAAAATCCATTCATTTGCTCCTTCCACACCTCCTTAATCACACACTCTGTGAGTCCTGGGGTACAAGAATCATCTAAGCATATTACCTACCCTTTGGGAACACGCGGTAAAAGATGAAAAGAGATGTATATATACACAAATAATTACAGTCGTGCAGTAAGTATTGTCATTGATTTTTAAATGTGCTATGGAAGCCGACAGGTAAAAGCACCAAACTGGTCTGCAAGGGTCAGGTCAGTACCACAATCCTGCCACAAATCCTGAAAATTTGCTCCAATCCTGTCACTGTCCACCTTTAAAACTACCCATGAGACCATTAGACCCTGGGATAAATTCCACACTTCTTAAGATCCCATAAAGACCCTTCATCAACTGGTCTCTCACTTCCCTCTCATTCATGTATCTGACTGCAAGGCCCAGACCTTGGCTTTCCTGGCAGCTACTTCATCTCCTGGTGTCTGTGCTTCCTCATCTGCAAAACAAAGGTAATTCATCTACCTCATAAGAATGTAGTGAAAGGTTAAGGGATTTGGTGCCTGACACACAGAGCTATCAATACAGGCAGCAAAACATCATTTGCCGCCTCACTTACCGGCTCTCTAGCCACAAGAGATTGGTAGGTTGCACAAAAGTCAGTTAGTCCTGACTCCTTGTCTTTCCTCCACAAAGCCTGCCCCCAACTCACTCTCTTCCTCTCCAATGTTCTCATCATATTTTGTACATATTTGTTGGATAATCCTATTAACGTATTATTACAGCTTGCTTGTTTCTTCCACCAGAGACTTAAATTCCTGCTGTGTGTGCGCGCACGTGCCCACACCTGTGAACAGGAGTGAGGGAAGCAATTCCATCCTGAAGACTGAAACCCTCCCTCCCCAACAAAGTAAAAATCCTCACGTAAGATGTTCAATGAAAACGGTTACGTAACGATAACAGCTCATATTTATTGAGCCCTTATTACGTGCAAGTACTGTTCCAAGAGCTTCGATCCGATGTTTTCCCTCACTTTTCAGACTAAGGATACTGAGGTATTGAGTTGAAAAATTTGTGCAAAGTCTATCAGCGGGCAAATGCTTGAGTCCGCATTCCAATCCAGAGATCGAACTCCTCGCTTTAACTACGTCTTCTTCAACACCACCAGAAGGCGAGCAGACCCTAAACCTCGCTTAATGATGGGCTCCCCTGCCGAGACCCCAAACAGCATCAAGAGGCGAAAATGTCACCCGAATCCCCTAAAAATAACTTTTGCCAACAAGGAGCAGTTTCCCAGCATCTCCCACAAAAGAAAGCCAGAAGCCCCCAGATCAGCGGCGGGGTTCCTGTTAAGATACCTATAGGCCTATGGGGAGTGTACTGGACCAAAGAGAGATTCACCCCTATCCCGAAATCAGCAACACAGAGAGGGGCCCAAAGAAGGAGCAGAAAATATTGAGCGCATCCCATTTCCCCACAAACGCCCCCACATGAAACTTTCCAGTACCGGGTCTGTGGCATCCAACTTTCAAAGTTTCCCCCACCCCTCACAGTTCCCCGCGGAAAGCGCCGCAAAGCAACAACCCAAATGCTGACTGGGTCATCGCTCTGGCGAAATATCCAATCAGAGGTAGGGAGAGAGCACCGGGTTGGCTCCCCTGCTTGCTGGGAATTGTAGTTCTCACTACAATCAGTCAATGAGTTCCAGTCAGTTTCTAGTTAAAGTGGTTATCAAAGTCCTGTAGAGGAACAGCAGCAAGGACTGAACGAAGCCAGGAAAAACCTTGCTTGGAATTGTCTCTTTTCTTTGTTTTGTCACTACATTTATAAAATGTGTAATGGACCAGAGAGACATGTTAATTTTCAGGGAATAAGAACCCATCTACCCTAGAAGAGGTTTTGAAAGAGAGCTTGGGTTTGTTTGGGTTTGCTTTTTTCTTTTCTTTTCAAGATTTTATTTATTTGAGGGGTACCTAGGTGGCTCAGTGGGTTAAAGCCTCTGCCTTCAGCTCACGTCATGATCCCAGGGTCCTGGGGTTGAGCCCCACATCCGGCTCCCTGCTCAGCAGGGAGCCTGGTTCCCCCTCTCTCTCTGCCTGCCTCTCTGCCTACTTATGATCTCTATCAAATAAATAAAATCTTTTTTTAAAAAAGATTTTATTTATTTGAGAGAGAACGCGCATATAAGCCAGAGGAGGGGCAGAGGGAGAGGGAGAAGCAGACTCCCCGCTGAGCCTTACTGGGGCTCCATCCCAGGACTCTGGATCATGACCTGAGCAGAAAGCAGAAACTTAACTGGGGTAGCCACCCAGGTGCACCTGCTTTGCTATTTTCACCACACTTTGGTGGTGAAATAGTTTGGGAAATGCTGCGTGAAATTGCTTAAACTGAAAACACTTAATGGGGAAACATGAGTCTGTAGTTTAAGAAGACCATAAAGAAACCAAACAAGTTTCTGTGTAAAAGCAGCTGTGATAAAGAAGCTTAGTAAACTGTTGCTTTAATACTCAGTTTCAGATTGCAGTATTATATTTGCAAAAAAGCTTTTGCTCATTCTTTGTTCTCATCTCTCAGTGCACACTTTGTCTTATAATTTAACCTATTGTATCCTAATTAATGGCATGTGCTACTCACTGGACTCTGAGCTCCTTGAGGACCGGGTCCACAACTTAGCCTGTAAAATAGGGACTCGTACCCTGTTCAATTAATAGTTGTCAGGCAAATGAGAAAATAAATTAATGGAATTAGGCAGAAAATGGGTATTCAGGATGTAGGATTCTGGGATTATAACAGAGCCCAGTTGGATAGAATAACAATGGAGGAGGATCCAGGTTTCTCTGCTCTCGGTATTCCTAAGGCCTGGCAAAACACTGTCAGAGCTTAGCACTTATTAAAAGCTGATTTCAGGGGCGCCTGGGTGACTTAGTGGGTTAAGCCTCTGCCTTTGGCTCAGGTCATGATCTCAGGGTCCTGGGATGGAGCCCAACATCAGGCTCTCTGCTCAGCAGGGAGCCCGCTTCCCCTCTCTCTTACCTGCCTCTCTGCCTACTTCTGACCTCTCTCTGTCAAATAAATAAAATCTTTTTTAAATTTTTTTAAAAATAAAAGCTGACTTCAAATGCTAGGAAGTAAAAGAAGAAAAAAAATCAAGGGACACTGATATTCCTGCCATCTGCTCTGACGAACGCAAAACAGAAGGTGTTGAGCTGAGGACTGGTAAAAACTGAGATGAACGGTCCTCGTTAGCTGGGTAGCTTACTTACTCTTTCGTTGTCCTAGCTTTCTCTAGTCCAAAGAGGTGGCGACACGTGACCCAAACAAATATGGCGCCTTATTTGCATCGTCCCTCCACTGACCAATAGGAGTAGCCGTTCTCAGTCGTCCCACACCCCACCCCCCCCACCCCGACATCGGGCAACCTCCCGAATGGGATCTATCACCTGACTCGGTTCAAACATGGCTGCGCTGGAATCTCTATTGCTTTGGGCACCGGGAGCGGGTAAGTGTTAGGCACCTCAAAGAAAGCGGGGGCGCTCCCCAGGACCCCTGAAGAGAGCATCCCTCAGCCCCAATCCCCAAGGGCCTTCAGGTCTGACACAGACTCTTCTCCAAATCTTCCCTCATCTGCCTAAAGAGAGAGCTCCAAGGAGGGAGGTTCCTCCTGAATTTCTCATCCTTAAGGAGGCGACCACCTGGGGATTTGGAGTCGGAATGGGCGTAAAGTTAAGTGGGGAATATGAAAATACGGTTATGAGTCTGCACCCTGAGCTAATACGATCATTGAGATTAATTAAATATTGGATGCATGTAGAGAGATGGGATCCACCCCTCGGGGAAAGGTGGAACTTCTCAAAAAGAGTAACACGTCAAATCAAACTTAAAACAATAATTAGGGAAGTAAGTCCCGCTTTTCCCAGCCGGGCTAGCAGTTACTAGTTTGTCTAACTATAGTTCTTCCGTTTCTCCTCACTGTGGTGTGTATTGTTTCTAGGAGGTGCTCCACGAATGAGAAAATTGACAATGTGGTCTGCGTAATTTATTTCTTCTTATCTCCCTGCACTCTGTGCTGGGAAAATGCATCATCCATTTGGAAAAGAGGAAACTGCTTCTCAGAAGCAACTTTTTGGGTTTTTCTGTGAGTGCCTTCGCAGAGGAGAATGGGAGCTAGCTCAGGCATGTGTACCTCAGCTACACGAGGCACAAGGGGATATCCCCAAAAAGGTGGAAGATATACTTCAGGCGCTGGTGGTGTGTCCAGATCGGCTGAGGTAAGGATCTCTCTTTATTCCAGGCAGTCTGAGGGCAGGAGACACAAGGTCACTATTTGGGTTCTGGTCAACGTGCCTCTCTCACCTATCCTCTGAGGAATTATCAGAGGCAGAGTGTATTTCGCTTGCTCTGAAAATTTACCTCTCTAATACGTGTTTAGTACTTAATCAGTATTGGCTTTCAGTTATCCTCTTAAACAGCATGTAAGCCTGGCCAGCAAAGTATGCCTGAAACCACCATTTCTTGATTATTATCATTAAAGTAAATGGTGGAACTGCATTGAAAAGCAGTTTCTTTGCCTCCAGAAAGGCTCTCTTCTTGCTTATGTAATTGAAGGTATTGTAGCTTTAACAAAGGACTGGAAGTCAATTCACTTAAAGTTTTTATTTTGAGATAATTATATGAATATTATATTTAAAAAGTTATATAAATAAGTTTTACATTCACAAGAAGTGCAAAAAAAAAAAAAAAAAAAGAAAATACAAAGAGTACCTTTTCCACAGCTTCCCCAATTGTGGTATCTCATATACCTATGGTACAATATCAAAATCCAGAAATTGAAATTGATACATTTCTGTTAACTAGACTGCAGAACTTATTAAGTCTTCACCATTTTTTTAACGTGGATTTGTTTTTATGTATGTAGTTCTGTGCAGTTTTATTCAGGTACAGACTCATGTAACTACTACTAAAATCAAGATACAGAACTCTTCATCACACAAAAGAATTCCCTCACTCCCTGGGAATACCTCTTTGTATTTTGACCCCTCTTTGTACCCTGGCCACCACTGTTCTCTATCTAAATTTTTAGTGAGGCTCTTCCTGGCAATGCTATTAACAGCTAGTAGTATAACAATTAAATGTGCTAGCTAGTCTCTCCCCTCACTTTTCCTTTTGACAGCTGTGTTGTACTGTACTAACACATACAGAGTAGAGACTTAGGTGATTCATTTTTCCCTTTTTTTTTTTTTTCACTTGGGTTCTAGCCAGTTTCTGTCTAAATTACTAACTTCAAAGAAAGCCTTATGAATTCCTATATCCCTGTTTTTAGCATAGAGTTAAAAATAAATTTTTATGAATTTCCTTTTTTTCTTTAAGGCTACTTGATTCAGTTTCTATTTTCAAGAACATACTTTATGGAGACTTGCTTTTATAGTTTTCTATGAATGTTATTTTGTTTAAAAATAATAAAGACTAGATAGTGAGTTGGAGTTAGGCGTAAGAATTTTTTCCTTTTTTTTTTTTTTAAATGAAAGCTGCTGGCTCTTTTCTGGTTCTAGTTTTATTGATCTATCATATAATTGAAAATTTCTCATTAGGACAATGTCTTCTTGCCTGGTTAGGTTTAAAATAGACTGAGCAGTGAAATCCAAATCTTGGGTCACAAAAGAGTAAAGGTCAGTAGAAACTCTTTGTTTAGAAATTCTTTCTTTTCACATTTTTCAGATGTGGACAGGACATGAACCCTCAAAGATTAGCCTGGGTCTGGTTTCTTGTACTGGAAAAATGGTTCTCCCAGGAAAAGGTAAGAAGGTTTATATTTCAGATATTTTCCTGAAGCCAAGGCTGAGAACTTGGAAGTGGCTAAAGATTTCCTTTTCATCCCTTACTTCCTTTATTATGAAGTTTGTCATATTCCCTTCTCAGTGTTGACAGTGAAAATGGCTTAAATTTTTATTGCTTTCTCTCTACCTAAATATATTCATTCCCTTACTAACATATATTGGAATGTAATACCATTTAAGGTGATATCATTTTGTTAAATACCATTGTGAGTCTTGTGCCTGAATAGAGTTTTGCAAAACCAAGTGAAAGTGACAAGATACTAAATAAATTATGAATCTCATAATACACAAGTAATGGAGAATGGGCTGAGCTGAAACCTGGTTTTTCTTCCAAAAATCTCATTTTAATTAGTCCAATGCAGTGAATACTTATAGACATTAACCTCATTGATTAATAATTTAGTAATCCACATGAATTAAACTAAAAGTTAGCAAGTATAAAAACAGGGTGAGCAAATTAATAGTAGAAGAAAACTTGTAACAAAGTGTTTTTTTTTAAATGTTGCCTTTAGAAGGCTTTTTAAAAGTATGTGATAATTATCAGAAGTTGATATCTATTAGAGGAATTTCTCTGACACAATTCTGTATTAAGCCTCAGACTTTAAGATTTAGGTGAGGAACCTCTGACCCAGAAGAGAAATGATGACTGGCCCAGGGACACACCGTAAAGTTAGTGGGAAGAACTAAGACTGCAACCAAGGTCTTCTCATTTTGAGTCCTTAGTTTACTAGGTTTTTCCCCCTC